TGAACCGGCCTGTGAGCATGGCCGAGCTGAGCCGCCTGCGGAGGCAGTTCATCAGCTACACCAAGATGCAGCCCAGTGACGAAAACTTGCCCCAGCTGGCCAGCATGTTCCTGCAGTACCTGAGCCGCAGCATCCAGTGAACCCTGTCATCGGTGCCGCGCGTGGCAGTAGCCATGCTCCAGTCCCAAAGTACTTGCAACAGTAAGAACATGCCTTCCAGTCACAGATCCCGCAGAGCTTGGGTCCCACCTGCCGCATATCAGATCACAGAATCATAGAATATCTCGAGTTGGAAGGGACCCATAAGGATCATCAAGTCCAGCTCGTGTGGCAACAGCAGCTCTGGGAAGATGGATACCGTGTTCCTGCAGCAGCCGAGCAAGTGATGTTGATTGCTAAGAGGATCTGTAGGGATGCTATTCCCCTGCCTCCTGCATTTTCCCCACTTGCCTCTTTCGAAAAGGAGAGCTACTGTTGCATCCCCAAGCAAGTGAAGTCTCCTATGGAGACCTAAAGCCCAGTAATGAAATAGTGTCTGGACTTGAAAACGCAAAAGGTGGTGACCATAGGGAAAACTTTTCCTCTCCACATTGGCATGTGTATGTCTTCAATAAAAATATCTTTTTCCAAGGCTGTCTCCAGATAATGTCAAACTGCAGAAGAGACCAGGTCCAGAACTGGAACAGGCTGTATTTTTAGAATGTGACTGTTTCAAAAAATCCTACCAAACCCAGGAGATAGATTTGCAAACTCTGTGCAACAGAAGGGTGCTGTCTTAGCAAACTCAAACCTCTGTGTTTCAGGTTTAACAATAAAATGTGTGCCTTAAATGGAGGAGAGTCTTAATTTACCTGCAGGACTACTTTATTGAAATAACTTGCTATGTCTTTTCTCTGCAAGGTCATCATTAAACACCTTTAAAAACACTAATTGTTTAAGAGTGAGTGTTCTCATGGGAAAAATGAGCTAAAAAAGACAGTGTTCGGGGCAAAACGCTCCCATAAGTCTGTACCAGCTGTGACAGGTAACTTGGTTTTGTACTTAGTTTCAACTAATTTCAGTCTTTGCTATACCATGTATATAGCTTATATAAACTTTTCACCTTCTGGTGGATGCTTCATCCCTCCTTTTAATAAATCATGGCTTTTGATTTTAACTGTATGTGTAGTGCTACCTGGAAGAAATGGTAAAGTGGAGTGGGAAGGGTTACTTCAATTACAGTGGCTGTTCATCTGACATAATTGTCTGCTAGGTGGTCTTAGGCATTGCAGAACTGAGAAATGACTATAAAAGTGTTTTGATGTAACTAAGTTCATTTTCCCAGTCAAAGAGAATAAAACTGAGAAAATACAATCACTATCTAAAACTTCTGTGAGTTCTCTCTGGAGAAGAGTTGGTATTTCAGGACTGCGAGCACTTCCGTTTAAAATCTGCTTTGAAAATCTCAACTTTTAAAAAAAAAAAGCATGTTGCACTACTGATCACCAGATGATTGAATTCTTCTGACGTGAAACACTGGTACTTGATCATAAGAACAAACTGTATTTTCCAGGCTTAAATCAGCCTCTCCTCAAGAAAGAGGCACAATCATGTTGGACTGTATGGAAACGATGAAAAAAAGTGTTTTTTCATCATCGGGGAGAGGACACTGATGCAATACAAGCTTTACTAGGGAGATGTGTATTCTTGCTCTGTACTGCAAACAGAGTCCTATGTAAAGATGATAACCTGTTGGTCAGATGTACTTGCTTCCTCTCCACCCGTTCCTGGTTCTGAAGGCCAAAACCGAATGCTGCTAAGTAGAGATTTCCTTTCATATCTACCTACAGCTAAAGAAAAACTTGTACTTCAGTTCAGCTAGTAATTAATTTAGTTGCCATCATGTGCAAAGGTATTTGTAATTTCTCTGTCTCTGAGAAATTCAGTTAATTTTTAAACCCCAAAATATAACAGAGTTTACAATAGCAGAAAGCTTAAATTTTGCTTGGCATATCCTGAAAGAAGCATCCATATAGTATGTTCTCTGTGTCTTTCTTGATTACTTCTTTTTCTTCACCTAGTTTTAGGCTGTTCTTACTGTTCTGGAAGCTGTATCATTATTACCAGCTTCCCTTTTCCATAGCTTAAGGGGCTGTTTGGTAAGAGAAAAAGGATGAGATGCCCTATTCTTGTTCTTAGTCTTTCTTAGTTTATTGCCCTAGTCAGCTTTCACCAGTTCAACTGTTGGGTGGTAGAAATAATGAAAGCGTTAGTAAGGACTTCCGCAAGCAGAAAGTGTAGAGGTAAGTGTTGTACTACCTGAGTGTGCTCAATAGCAACAAAACTCACCTGTAGTTGTATCACTTTTCTTGTTAGAAAGGTAAAACTAATGCAGAATAGTCAGGAGCAGTGAAGTGGTGGACTAATTGGATCACCAGCACTAACAACAGGAAATATGTGAAATTTGTAGTGTCTTTAAGGTCTCTCTGTCTAATTGCATAATGCAGCCTGAATATATTATAAAGGAGCTTAGAGAAATTGAACTTGGTAAGCTTGACTTGGTCAGAAGGTAAAATGCTAAAGGAATTTTTGAAGAACAGGGTTAAATAAAATATATCAGGTTGACGGAAGCTTAACTTCTGGGTAGGATAGGTATTAAAGGTCAAGTGAATTATTTGGGATGAGAGAGAATATAATAAAGAATAGCTTTGGTCCTTTTGCATTGCACTTTATTTAGGCTGCAGTTCCACACAGCGCCCCCCCCGCACCCCCCAAAAGTCCTGGCACTTGTCACATTTGTCACAGATTTGTTTTGGCATACCATCATGTAGGAAACTAGCCTGGCAGCCAGAGGGTTTGCTAGGTTACTGTGCTTGATTATTGCTCAATGGAGGGTCTTACTGTATTTGGTGATTGCTCAGTGGAGGTCACAGAAGGTGACTGAAACATACAGACCGTAGTGGGGAGAGGGATGGATGTATGACTGTCATCCACTGGATTGCAGCCACGAAAATCCATCCTGAGAGCTCTTAAGCAGCTGGTGTCACTAACGACTTCCAGTAAAAAAGCGCGTGGCCAGTTGTGTGTCTGAGCAAATCTTAACTAGTAAGAGCAAACCATCCGAAGAGAAAGTCTTCTCCTCTACAAAAGCAGTTACTAAGAGGCAGTTATAATAATTTATTACTATACATGTTTTAAGATTGGGAAAACTTTTTGCAAGACAACCTTAAAACATAGCAGAATCTCTTTACATCTTTCTAATTTTCCATTACATTTAGCCTTTGTACTGACTTTTAAAGTGTACATGTAATAGAATTTGGTTTCTGTAAACTTTCTTTGACAACTTTTTTTTTTTTAGTGGTTTGCCTCTTATGGTTATCATCCACAAATCTTGGTGTGGAGCTTGCAAAGGTAAGTCTGTTTAATACTAGAGCTCACTGAAATTTGTAATGAACTTCTGTATACAAATCAAGTAACCACGAGAAACATGAACTTCATATTCACAAACAGTATTTGTATTTCATTTAGAGCAGTATAATATCACACCACTTTATCTGTAAGCACTGCCAAAAGCCAGCCATGCCTAAATGCCAGCAAACTAACAGCTGTAATACTGCACTTCTGTAGTGGCTGTGACTTCTGCACTTGGCTATAAAAACGGGAACAGAATGAATTATATTCAAGAATTAAGTGTAAATTGCCTTACTTTCAGCTGATGGTTCTTCAAGGCTTTGTCTCTTTCAGTATCGCAAACAAATAAGCTGGGCATAATGGCTAAGCTTAAAGGATGAGTTGGTTGAGTGAGAATTTTTGCTTCTGTTCCATTGGTTCAAATATGACCGCGTGTGTCTGTTGGCCCGGCTTCATCATGCCATGCTGGCTGCCCAGCACGGATTGCTTCAGTTACCTGCTGTTCTGAGCCTGGCTTGAATGGTTTGATACATATATTCTGTTTACTCACTGGTTATTGAAAAGTACCAGCTCTCCAGAGGGAGGAATGAAGTCGAGATTTTGGTGCTGACCCGAAAACCTGAAAGCTTTTCCACTGTCTTTATGCATCTCTTCTTTTTCTCCCCCCCCTCAATTAGCTTTAAAGCCAAAGTTTGCTGAATCCAAGGAGATCTCTGAACTTGCCCATAATTTTGTTATGGTCAACCTTGAGGTAAGCTGCCATCTGAATTGTATCCATGTTACTGCTTAGTAATGAAGCATTTGGAATCTTGCTTAATTGGTTGCATTCTGTTTTGTGTACATCCTAATCGTGCACTCCTGGGCAGGTATTCAGGATTGATTGGTACAGCTGATTGCTTTAAAAAGAATCTTCTTCAGTCTGGCTATTTTAATTGTGTTTATAAACTTGTCTCTCTGCCATTGTCTCTTTAACAATTTGTACTTCGTGTCATTCCGTTGCCGCAATAAAGGAATTTACATTCATTCTCTCATGACATATCAAACTTCCCTACACCAAAATGAAATGTTTAATGCAAATTGACAGAACAGAAAAAAATATTATTATTTTCACAAATTGTACTTGTTTAGGTAAATATAACTTTCTCTCCTTTGAGAGTGGAAGATACTGCAGTTACCTAGTGTCTGTTCAAGATGTAAATTGCTCAGGATAAATGGAATCTGGAGGCAATGGCTTGTTTCTTTAAAATGAGTGCTGTGTTTTGTTAGATACCTTGCTAATTTGTTCCCTCTCTTCTGTCTTGCTTTGGTAGGATGATGAAGAGCCAAATGATGAAGCCTTTAGTCCTGATGGAGGTTACATTCCCAGAATCCTTTTCATGGGTAGGGCATCCACAGCTGTTGTGTCCACTCACAGGACTGTGTTCTTACTGTTACCACCTACATTTCCTGTTTGATTTCTTGTTTCATAGACCCCAGTGGAAAAGTCCACCCAGAAATCATAAATGAGAAAGGAAACCCCAGCTACAAGTATTTCTATACCAATGCTGATCAAGGTATGTGCAAAGTAGTTTGAAGTGCATTTTTAGTGAGATGAAGCTCTGAATGTGTCCTGAGTGAAGGACACACCTTCACTTTTGAGTGGAGAAAAATGATGATACTTTACAGCTTAACTGGGAGCTGTTAGATACAACGTGAGTGAGTGGCTCTCTTATGCCTTGAGGAACCATGTTCAGAATCATGATTCACCTCAATGCTTACTATAAGGTCTATAGGACTTAAACTTTGTCTCCAGCTGTGGCATTCAAAATCATGCAATTCACATGATCCAGCTACAGATAGTTGGGAAAAGGGCACAGGACTGTTGTTTGTTTTTTTCTTCCACAGGTTAATTTGTAGACCTACATTCTGTAACTGTGTTATTTTAAAATACTTTCATTGCCAGGACACCTCGATGTTTTAATCTTGAGATTAATAGTTGCTGTCTCTCTGTCTAATCTTTCAGTTGTCCAAGGGATGAAGGAGGCCCAGGAGAAGCTAACAGGTGATGCTTTCAAACAAAAACACCTGGGAGATGAACTATAATGAATACACTGAATGATGCTTTTCCATCACTTCAAAACTCTAAAAGGAAATGATTAAACAGACCGAGAATGTAGATGCACTGGAGGGACATAATTCTTCTGTCAACAATGTTAGGTTAAACCCTGTTTGGAGTTCACATACATACATCAGTTACAGTGTTATCTCCTCTGCCTGGCTGTTTGTACTGTACCAGTCATTTGCAACTAGGTAATGTGCAAACACATCTGTTTGTGTGTTTGAGCAACCACTAATATTTGGTGTTAAAAGGGAGGTGTGTAGGGCAAAACATTATTTGAGGACAAACGGTGTGATTGGAATAACTAGAAGTAGCCAGTATTTTGACAATTGGGGTTGAATCCCTCTTTTCTCACTGGTATTATGTGATCCCATTGTTTCTACTGGGGATTCCTATGAATGGGGCATGTTCCCGGGCCAGGTGTTTTTTAGACATCCCAACCCATGAATTCTGCCACTAAGCCAAGCAGAATAAATTTCATGAATGTCCAAGTAGCATGTGAATTTATTAGCTCTGCAAACACATTTTTGTGTAAAACTGTGTGTGATTCATCTTTATTTGCCTTTGGGCAGAAATTTAACTTTTTCCTTGTGCACTCACCTTTTGATTGTTTTATCGAGTGAGGGTGGGTTATGTTGAAGCTTTACGAGGGTTCCCCTTTTATTCTTTGAATGTTTTTCGGTGAATGCCTTGCCATCACATTTTACTGTATTTTTGTATCAGGGTGAAAATTAAACCTTTTTAAACATAAGCATGCAGACAGTGTTTTGTGGTAAAGACCATAGCTTTCCATTCTTAAGGATGGGGGAATATAATTTTGTTTATGTTGCAGTGGTTATTAATGTTGAATGTCACAGCTGAAGAAGGTTTCTCCTTTTTATAAATAAAAAAACAACAGTTGCTTTTCATATAATTCAGCCATTCTTACACTACCTATACTGTCAAGGGCAGGGTAATACCTACTGTTTATCTACTGGAGCTGAAAAGAAAAATAGAGGGGAAAAAAATCACCTCTGTTGATCTGCTGGTAATGGTTTTCCTAGTGCAGCGCACGATGCTGTTGGCCACCTTTGCCACAAGGGCACATTGCTGGCTTATGGTCAACTTGTTCTCCACCTGGACTTCCATGTCCTCCTCAGCAAAGCTGCTTTCCAGCCTGTCAGCCCCCAACCTGTGTGCACAGGTTATTCCTTCCCAGGTGAAGGACTTCGCATTTCCCTTTGTTGAGCTTCCTGACAACCCCCTCTGCCCATTTCTCCAGCCTGTTGAGGTCCTTCTGAATGGCGGCACAACTGTCTATCAACTTCTCTCCTCAGTTTTGTATCATCTGCCAGTTTGCTGAGGGTGGACTCTGTCCATTCATCGAGGTTGTTAATGAAGATGTTAAGGTATTGACCCCGGGGTACTCCACTAGTGACTAGCCCCTATGAGCCCAGTGGTTCTGCCAGTTTTCCATCCACCTCACTGCCCATTTATTCAGATTGTACTTCATCAGTTTGTCTGTAAGCATGCTATGGGAGACAGAGTTGAAAGCCTTAGTAAAGCCAAAACAACACCTACTGCTCTCCCCTCATCCATGAAACTAGTCATCTAAAGGAAAAAATCCTGTCCAAAAGGCACTTGCCGTAACTTCCTATAGCAAACACAGAGATATAATTTTCTACAGATAATTGTTGAAGAGCTATCTAAGGACATTAGTTGGGGAAAATTGTTGTATGCAATAAACCCAACTTGTCTACTGATCACATTTTTACTGTTTAGTAGTGTAATGAATTTTACTTTCCCAACCAGCCTGCCTTTGAGGGATTTTAGACACCAAAACTCAACTGGGCAGTAAAAGACAAGGACTCAGTAGCAATAATGCAATTATTGCACATTACAATTACCCTGCTCAGCTACTTTTACAGGTTTTTTTTTTTACAGTTATTTTACAGGTTTTATCCTCTGCTTCTCTTGCAAATTATCTAATAAATTAACCATGAAATTGAACTCAGCAACTATTCTCAAGTTATATCAGCCTTCAAAGTAAATAATTCCATGTAAGTCCTGAAAAAGAATTTGTGGTTTGCAAAATTGTCTTTATTTCCCAGCTGTATCAGTTGACCTAATAAAAAATAGGTCCTGTCTGATGCTCCTTATTTCATTTATAGCCTTAGATTGACATGACTGTAAAAAATCAGATACTTTTTTCTACTTGCCACCAGGGGGAGGTCTCTGCTTGTTCATCTGGGATGTGATTCAATAAATGATAATTAAAAATAATCTCTGATGCGAAATAGCAGGGTGCACCTCTGCGATTTTCCAGTCATGCTTTTGCAGCAGGTCTGTCCTTGTCCTGTCTCTGCAGCAAAATTATAGCCTGTGAGATGTACATAATTTGTCCCAAAGCCTTGCTTTGCAAAATGTTGTGATGTCAGAAGTGACATGGCCTCAAAGTAATTTAAAAAAGTTTTCCACCTAGAGAGATCTTTCAGTGACAGATGCGGGAAGTGTGCTTCATCCTTTACATTTAAGACCATTCTGATTCAAAATTACTCTCCTTCACCTCTCCACTGGTGCATCTCCTCTCCTTCAGCACTTTCTGCCTTCCAGACTTGCTACTTCCAAAGGAAAAATACTCCATAATCCTTTTTGCCTTCTTATTTGGCTGCCTCCTTTCTTTCTGATCCTTTCTACCTTCTCTGTGTTCAGACTTGGTGAGCTGGTACAGCTTCCCCACCCTCCCTTCTACTTGCTCTTTTCTAGACCATGTTTTTGTCCTCTGTAGCAAGATGGGCTCTGGCGCTTGCTAGCCTGCTTGGTGTTTAGCTGGAGTCTCAGTAGGATATGATGTACGTGCTGCCACAGTTTGATTGCTAGGCGCAGCTAGTTAATAAGTGTAAAAGCTCTTTCACATGTCTGGATTGCAGGATAAACTTACTTTTGATCTATTACTTAAATATTTTTCTCTTTCTACCTGTTAGTTTTATACCTGGACATTGTAGTTGCTACCTCCTAATGCAGATTCTTTACGCCCTTCTGCTTTTTAATCTGGATCAGGTGAGAAATGCTGGTTGGCATTTTCTTCTGTGCAGAGGGATATGTCTTGAACCTTCCATCCAACTGTTGCTTTACATACGTTGTGTAACTTTATGCACGCAAGCAACTCCACAGGGTTTAGAGGAGCTGCTTACAGGTCAGTGTTTGTTGTAGTTGTGTTCAAAGTTAATTATACACTGCAGCAGCTCAACAGTGCACAGTAACCAAGGCCTCAGATTAGTTTGCCCCCATCAGCTTTGTTTTGTGTGTTGCCCATCTGCATATGACTTGCAATAAATCTGCATACTTAGATAACTTCTTTAGATGCATCCTAGAAATCCCCTTGGATTCTCAGCTTCTACTGCTTTTACGGCGACAACAAAACCCAGAGACCTTACAAAATTCTTAGTATCGTCCCAGGGAACTGCCAGGCCAAATCAATCTCATGAAAACAAACATGCTGTCAGCTCCATTTCTCCCAGAAACAACCCACGGAGGAAAAAAAAATCCAAAGTTAATTAAAGAGTGACTGGATTGCAGCTAGCCATCTGGCTGCCTGGGAGCAGAGGTTGCTTTGTGCACCTGGGGCTGAACAGGCTTTAAGGAAGTGTCAGCTAGCGACTTGGGAAACCTTTCCTTTGCCATGCTTAGCAGCAGGGAACAGAGGTACAACAACCAAGAATGGCAGCATGGCCAGAGTGTCCCGTCCATCATCCTGTCATGCTGAATTTAGGAGTCATCTACTTCAAATATACTTTTGTCCCCATGACCGTTTGTCTGCCATCATATCTAGTCTGTATCAAGCTGCTAATGAGCTTCTTTCATTGTCCTCACTTACAGCTTGTGTAGTGAATAATATTATTAAAACTGTGTGAATGCAAGGTCATATATCCCTTGAGGTGATGAAACTTTTCTTAACTTTTGGCAAGAGGAGGGGCATTTGCATTTGCACTATGCTGTGATACTTATTTGCAGCTGATCCAGTATTATGCCTGACTGGGTTTGCCCAACCAGGAGAACCACTCCAGAGGATGGATATTTGGAAAATAATAAAGGTGGAATCACACCAAGCAGAACTCTATCCACAGAGCGGGATAAAAAGTGGAACTTCACTGCAAGTTCATGCTCATCTCAAAGGAAGCAACGCCAAAGGGTGTTTATCTAAAAGGTTGCATCCCACTTCCAGACAGCTGTCTAAGATGTCTTTGGGGGTAACAGGACAGGGGAGCTTGTTGCCTGGAGGGAACCAGGAAACAATCATGAAGGTCTGTCAAAATGGTAAAAGTCACTTTGTCTCAAAACTCTTTGGCATATTAACTCATTTCCTCTTTCTTCCTCCAAGAAACAGATGCAGATTTGTTAAGCAGTTTAGACAAATAAACTCAGTTTGCTTTCCTTTCAAAGTTTGTCTAGTGTAAGGAGTGGCTGCATACAGTTCCCAGGCCTGCCATTGTCCAAGGAGCACCACTCCTTCCTTCACTCTTGCAGCGCCAGCCCGGTGCCACCACGTCAGCATGGCCCGAGGAGGAGGAGGAATCTCCACTGACAGCTGCCAGCCAGTCCCTGCGGCCTGTCGCAGGCAGTGGGGACAGGTTCCAAGGCTTGAGTGATCCTCTCCAGGCTGTGACAAATGTCATGGCCCAATTTTGTAATGGCTAAATCTGCAGTACCCTTCGCATCCTTCCCTAATCTTTGATTAGGGACTGAAAAAAGAAAAGAGAGAGACCCCAAACTTCTCTGTTCATAGTTATGCTGGAAGCAGGGACTGGCTGACCTGTGCTTACAGCATTCCGGGTTCTGACTCAGAACAGCAAGAGAGGCTGTTACACACCACCCCGTGCTGGCACTCGTCCCAGGACCGGGCAGAGCAGCCCATCAAGCAAGGTGCGGGGAGCAGGCAGGGTATGTCCCAGGCACGGGATCACCGAGTGGGTGGGTGCTGGAAAAACAATTGAGCGTTTCTGAGCTGCTCCCATGTTCTCCTTTCCTCTGACCAGCACAGGTGTCTCCTCCTCCATTTCCTGTGTCCCTGACATGATGCAGGGGATGAAGCAGAGACAACTTCCTAGAGCTTCCTCCCTCTCAAAAGGCATGATCCCATTGCTGCTGCTCCAAGCCAGGGCAAGGGAGTGAAGGCCCACAGGAGCTGCAGGATGAGCTGGGGCAGGGCTGAAGGGGCAGGACAGTCTGGACTGAATTTGGCTAAGGCTGTAGGTAACTGGTTGCTGTTTAGAGATTGTTTGTTGGTATATACTAATTTTTGGACCATTTTGCACATGCACGGCATGATGTAGGTAGATGTGCTGTAGAAATATTAATTGATAAGAACTGCAGATGTTCTCCCCACTTTCTGAGTGTGTTTCAGGACACAACATAATATGCTGTGCAGAAAAGAAGCTGCATTGGTAGCACAGTCAAATTTGGATGTCACTTTATTGAGCTATTTCTAATATTATGAACCGTTTTCAAAATCCCATTGGTAAGGATTTTGGTGCATTAGGCCTGTTAGCGAGAATGAAATTTGCACACGTCTTGGGGACACAGCATGGGGCATACATGCTATTTATTCCACACTGAAGTGAAGAAGTGCCTGGGTGAGTGCTACCTATTCAAATAAGGAGGATTTTGTTTCCTCCTTGCGGTTGGCATGTTTTCACCTAGCTTTCAACAGCTGGTAATGAGCTGCAACCACTGCTCCATGTGCAAACTGTGCTTCTTTGGGACACAGTTTGGTCTATGTATGCCCAATGCTTATCATGAGCTTAGACAATGAGTCTGTTAGACTCAGGGCCATTAATATTATTACTACTTACAGCATTGCACATAGATAATCCTTGATTTAAGCGCTGTGGTGCTGCTCCTGCTGTAGTAGTAAATAAAGCAATAAATAAAATACTGGTTTTAGAAAAGAGGGAACCAAAAAGATTAAAATTGTTTCCTTAGGTGAGTTGCACTGTGTGAGGATGCAGTAACCTGAATTAGAAACGCTGGGAGGGTAGTAGAGTATGCATATTGTGCTTGATAAATGTGCTTGCATGACTGCTGTGAGAGGCAGATAGATCCACATGTCAGAAAACAAGATAAAGCATAACATCTGCACTTCCCTTCCACCTCCGTGGGCTTGTGGGAGTTCTCTCCTGTTCCCTCATTTGCCCATCTATAAATCTAAAATAATACAGACCTCCGTTACTGGAAGTTGTGTAAGCACCCCATGACCGTACAACATTAAATCCTGGAAGGGAAGCGCACTAGGAGAGCTAACAATATTCACTCCATAAATTATAGAAATGTGGCTAAACAAAATTATAGACATAAAGAATCACTAC